AAACTAGTGATTATCCGAGGTATCGGAAAAATTTAATCACTAATTTTACGATTGACATGATATTACTTTGTAATACTATGATCGGCGAGGAAGTAAGGAAACATCTTTGGTATCATGTCCAGTTTTCTAATCAAGGAAGCGTAAACAACGCCAAAATGCATAACTAGCTCATTAGCATGTTGTACACCTTGGCTTGATAATGATGTAACTAAACAAATAGTTTTCAAATACATCTTCTATTTTGTAATTAATTCGACATTGGTTCGTTAGTGCTATTTCATACACTTGTTTTGTAGTCCCTTAGAGTACCAAAGATAATATTTATATCACAGAATTAAAATTCGTATACAATGCACAAACAACATGGCTGAGAGATTTTCGTTTAGTACAGACAACAAAGTTCAATAAATTAAGATTGATTATATCAGTTTGCTGTATTAAAGGGTCTTTCAATGCCTCATTTCGAGTTGGCAAAAGTGAACGTGCAATGTGGTGCTATACAAATGATTTCAAAAAAGTGATTTTTATGATAATTTTTATGTGACTGCAGATAATACTGTCATAGGCATTTTCGTATTTTAACTAAGAGCACAGGCATACGCAGTTAGGTAAAAACTGTCCCACATGCAAGACATCCTAGTGCCAGATGGTGTAGGAGACTTGTTTTCAGTAGAATCTCTTTTGAGGGGTATCTAGTCTACTATATTTGCATTGTGCACTGCATTAGGGAAGTATAATGGCAAAGGTACCCCAGTTTTCCACATGAATAACATGAGGAAAATTTAGAGGACAAAGGATTATTTTGTCTTTTACTAATTATACATCTATTTAATATATGCAAGGGGAATTTAGTATTATCTTTTACTAAATTTCCGTTGAATAAATTACATAAAGGGAAATTTAGTAAAAGACAAAAGAATCATTTGTCTTCTAAATTTCCTTCATGTTATTCATGAGGGAAATTCGGGTTTGTAAACCCCTCGGAAAACAATGGAATCCGAGGTGATCATGGTAGTACATCAATTACGAAAAATTGCATTGTTTTGTATGTAATTGTTACTTTCAGTTCCTGGTGCACCATCTTTGAAAATAACATTCATGAGTTCCACTTCGTTGCTTGTAAGCTGGACCTTGACAGAGAAAAATGGTGTAATAATTTTCTATCAAATCAGCTACTATCCTGTTGAAGACGAGTCAAATAAATACCTCTTGAACACTTCTGAAAGCAGCATCGCCATCACTGGACTTACTATGGGAATAGAATACTACATCAAGGTACTATCCAGGCAGTGATTTATACATAATCTTTTGATTATTGACAACATGATCGTTGTATACAGGTTCGAGCCGCTACAAAACGTGGTTTAGGACGTATCAGTAGTAAAAACTTTACCATAAATCAAGGTACACCTATTTTTAAAAATGTTGTATGAAATACAAGGGCATCTTATAGCCCGCCGCACGATAAGCGTAAGCGAGTCGCTATGATCAGCGTTTTGCTCGTTGAATGTGCACCATGTTTGTTGTTCAGCTTTCCTGACGAGGCGAAGCGAAGATTCGTTGTTGTGTTTGATATTTTTCTGCCTTTCGCGACCAAAATAGCCCAAGGTCAGCCAATCAAGTTCCAGTTGATAGTTTTTTTGTCTTGTGAAAACGTTCTTCAAATATCCGAATATTATCTATTGTACAAAGTTTTTGTTAGCTAGAGTATAAGAATTATTTCACCTCACCTCAAAGCCTGTAAAGAGTATAAGAATTTTCATTTTCTTGAGAAGGAGCAAACAGCAACCAAGGTGGTGATGACAGAACATCGGCTGATGTTACTGTTCCTGTCCTTGCGTCAATGCTCGCTGTGGCTCTTTTGGTTGTTGCTGCCCTTATTGTTCTATATATACTGCGAAGAAGAGGACTCATAATGAGACAAAGCCACTCTGAAGAGGTAAGCTAAGTATGACAAAAGAATGGCACACAAATCTGAAACGAGGGCTATAAATTCGACAACCCAAGTTGAACAAGTGGGATTCATCAAAAATAATACTTGCAGCGCTATTGCTCATGTTCGGAATATTACACCCAAATGGTTCAAGTTTCCTTTTTTAAGTGGTCCTGATTCAAACGTGAACGTTCATTAAGTTAATGATTTGAGTTTGTAATAAATTAATTGATAGAAAGAAGGACATTCTCCTGTTGGAAAAGCACATGACAACGCGATTATTCTCGATGATTTCACTGGAGAAACCACTGATGATCTTTACGCTTTCGTCCTTGATGAAACTATATGGGAAGTACCAAGAGAAAATCTTTCAGTTATCAAGACACTTGGTAGTGGAAACTTTGGTTGTGTTGATAAAGCGACGGCCATTGGGTTGGAGGGATGCCCTGGAGAGGTGACAGTTGCTGTGAAGACTCTCAAAAGTAAGGCTACGTTTCTCGGATGCAGCAAATTCCAAATGCTTCTTTTATCAGAAAAAACACGGAGCCATTACAAAGGCTTGCAAAACCAATTTTTAAAATTGGTGAATTGGCGAATTCTAGTACTTCAATGCAGTGAAAGCGTCATGATATTCGGACAAATAACAATATTTAGTTCAGAGAGTACTTCTCCTGCTTAGTTATCTTTAGTTTCTTCTGAGGTGGCATTTCGTTTTACCCATTTAGAGAATGTAGCAGAAAAGGATAAAGAAAACTTCTTCACCGAGCTTGGCCTGATGATGAGACTGGAACTCCACCCTCATGTTGTTAAACTATTAGGGTGTTGCACGAAGTCCGATGGTCAGTAAGAACAATTCTAAATGCTATAAGTACTAAAGTTTGGAAAGCACGTCCCCCATCTCTGCTCGAAAAAGGATAATGTATTCCTTACAATACTGTTGTTATAGGCCCAATGTGCATTATCCTTGAATATTTGCCCTATGGCGATCTCCTTGGCTACTTAAGGCGATCACGTGGTCACGAAGATACCTACTGCTCAGGAGATCTTCGTCCAGAAACAAAGTTGACATCACGTGATTTATTGAAGTTCGCCTGGATGATAGCTGATGGAATGAGTTTCTTAGCAGAAAATAAGGTCAGTGTTAAAGGTCAAGTGGACATGTCATACTGGCTTACTAGGCTTGTCATCACATTCTTGTGAACACAAGACTTATTGCAGAGAACG